TATGATCGCTGGAACTGAAATTACAGATACAGAAATACATCGAAAGGAAAAAGGGATTATCATCAAATTACTGAGAGAGAGGATCAACAATCAGGTATATTTCTGGTCATTTTCATGAAAATCCCTTTTCTTTTTTTCACGACATTTTTTATATAATTATCTTTTATAGGGAAATGCTTATTTGAAAATTGATAAGTATTTGAGAAGTAAATAAGTGATCTTAATCTTTCATCTAGTCAATATTTGTGGCTTCAACTGTAAGACACTGAATAAATTTTTATATGGTATACAGAAGATAGAGGGGGTAATTTTGTAACTTTTACAAATAGATAGCAAACAAGTTTATACGTGAACCTGTATAATTCACATGTGAATTATATGTTCATATGTGATTGTTCATAGGTGAATTCGTTAATTAGTTCACGTGTGAACTATTTAACCGATTCTCATATAAATCCATGGGTTCATATGTGAATTAGTTAATTATTTAATTTTCTGTTATGTTAAAAGGTTATAAAACCATATTAAACCATAAATGGATGATAAATATATTGACTCAAATAATAATTTATGAGATAAAAAAAATATTCAAATGATGATTTAAAAAACGAATGAAAATGTCATATTGGGGGTGAAAATTGTAAAGTTGGCAAAAGTAATAAAGAGAGGAGGACGAATGTAATATTCTGATAGTTACAGGGTTGTGTCAAATGTTAACAGATCCAAACCAGAAGGACATGTCTTGTAAATATATCACATCTCCAAATTTCATATATGAAAGCAACACACGATTTTTTGAAGCCTTCTATTGGCTCGTTTAGTCAACAAAAAAGACACAAAAAAAATACAGTTAAATAGCCAGCAATCGTCCTCTACATTTCTTGTTCAAGAAAACCAAAATTTCATCGTGTTTTGGAAGAGAAATCGGAGGTCGAAGTTCGAAGTCCAAAAACTCCAGTTATTGACGATTGGATGTAAAATACCTAACAAAATTTTGATTTCTTTATATGATTAGCTTCGTTTTAAGTCCTTTATTGAACCCTAGCAGCCTTATATCTAAAATTTTAGTTTTGAGAGTCCGATTTTGAGTTCTTTTTATTGATTTCCGAGTGGTTTTAAGACCCCAACTTTAAATGAGCAAATGAGACTTAATACTCGATGATTTTCGTTGATTTTTATTTTTATGGTTGAAGAAAAAGATTTTATAGTCTTAACAAGAAAAATCATCGAAAACGATGAAAAATAGAGGCCGAATCCGATGGGCCTCCAATAGGTGCTGGCCCATCTGTTGTTGGACTCGTTGTTTTATTAATATTTGGGCTAATATTAGATTAGTTAAAAGAGGCCCAGTTTATTTATTCTTTTGAATCCAATAAGTTATGTTGGGTATTTAGGGGTTGTTTGTTTACTTCTTAATAGTTTCATTAAGAGGCAAGCTTTAAATCGTTAAGAGGTGAATTTTGTTTGGCAAAATAAAAGTCTGCTTCTTAATGATTCTAAAACCCTCTGAATGATTTTGTATCTTGGATCTCCCTTACCCATTAAGAGCCCTAATTTCATTGTACACAGTAATACAATTATCAAACAATTATATTTCATTTTGCATTATATCATGAGAGCCTCTTAATAATTCTGACCACTTAATCATTCTGCACAAAACCATTCAGCAATTGCCAAACAGCCCCTTAGATATTAACTTAAATTGTTATTTAATTAATATACTAATTTATTTTAGAATATAAATTAATTAATTCCTAAGGAGGTGTTCTGAGATTATTTAATTAAGTTCTAACGACGGATTTGAAGTGTCATATTTTGGTTAAATGTTATCGAGATGGTTTAATGGGGGTAAATGATATTTTGGTTAAACGTTATCGAGACTGTTTAATGCGGGGTAAATGATTTCTTTAGTGATTAAAATGATAGACCGATGCCAAGAGTTGTTATCAAACGTGACGCTTAGAGGTTTATTGAATTATTTCGATAATTTGTAATGGGGTTAAAGTATTATTGAGTTAAATATTTACTAGGACGCTTTAATTTGGAGAGATGGATTTATACGGTTATAAAATGATTGTTTTGACCTTTTGAGTCGTCATCGAGTTTTAGACTTAGGGTTTGACTAACGTTAGTTAGGGTTCACCGAGTTGACCAATGGTTGACTTTTGACGTGTTTGACCCACATGGATTTTAATGATCGGGTCAAAATAAGTTATTTGAGGCATATTAAGAAAGCTCGGATATGGAGTTTGGCTTTAGGTCAGGTCGGATTGACCATGGTTGACTTTTGTTGACCTTTGGAAAATTTAAACCATTAGTGAGATATTATAGTTTGGAATATGTAGGTATTTAGGCAAGAGCTATAGGTAGTCAATTTACACGCAATCAAGTGAGTTTTCATGAGACTTACAATGGGATGCATATTTACGTACAAAATTATTTTTGAGCATTATATTTTGTATGGGTGATGTGTATGTATGCATAATGTTTCAGTTTACATATATGATACAATATGTTGTTTATGATTAGTTGCATGCTATGTGATTATTTTGTTTTCAAATAACTCTAGCATGCTATTTTATATGAAAGTTTTGTGATCAACTGCATCCTATGTGTTTATTTGTTTTTAAATAACTCTAGCATGTTATTTCATATAAAAGTTTTATGATCAGTTTTAAGAGGTGGACAGTTGACCAGTAAGTTACACGACAAGTGGCACGACCATGTAATAGGTGTCCAGACAGGTGTAGGTCGGACAACTCAGGGAATGTCAGTGACTAAATGACCAATACCCGACAGACAATTATGAGATATCTTTTCTTTCAGTGTTGCATGTGTTTTCGAAAAAATGCATACTATTTGATACAAAGTTTGCAAGTTGATATGTATGATGTGAAAGATTTTTATTCACGCAAACCATTAACTCACTAAGCTTTATAAGCTGGCTATATTATGCATCTCAGGTACAAAGGATTTCAGGTTGGACAAAGAAAAAGGCACACATAGAGACCTGCCTAGTCCATTTAAGTTCAACATTTATGTTTAGACATCTATGATAGATAAATTTGTAATGCAATATGGTATGGGACGAGTTAGCATTTAAGTTACATATTTATTTTTTTAAAGTCTTCTGCTGTAAACGGTCTAAAGGTTTAGTTTAACCGATATTTTGAAATATTTTTAGAGAAACATGTTTCAGATGACGTGACATTTCTCATCGTAAAAATGATGGTGTTACAGATTATCTCCATTCAAATTGAGGGGGTTATTCAGTTTAAATTTCGACCCCTTATATCAACGCTTATATTTCTCATTTATGCTGTTACTTACATGACGATTAAATAAAAGTTTACCTGCCATGTAAAATAAACATGTGCAAAATCAACTTTTCGAGGTAAAAAGGTCACCAAGTCCATACTTGTTTGTAAAGTCTGAGAAAATAAAATACAGAAACACAAATACACAATATTAATGAAATAAAAGTTTAGCGTCGAATTCAGATTCTGATATGTTTATACTGATTCACTAACTTGCGTAATACAGTTTTTTCGAGTGATATTTGAGACGCCGATTCACTATAATGGAGTTTTTTACATGGTATAACTTAAACTCTATTGCAACTATGAACGTAAGATACTTTCCTTGATTTTCCAAACAATACCAAGAGCGATCACTCACATAACTAAAATACTTGCACTGTTTATCAGATAGTTTACTCATATATCATAAGATTTTATTCCTTTTGGATGAATTTGTCAATTTAATGCACTTTTGGATGTCGAACAAGTAAGATAGAATGTTGGAAATCATAAAGTTTCAGGGGTTTTCGAATTTTACATCGTAAAGTTGATTTTTGTACCCCTAAAGCAAATTTGTCATACGACCAGAAGTCCACAGATAATCAAAATCATCCAAAAGACGATTGTTTCAAAATCATAAAAGTTCCAACACACAACATCAAGCTAACAGTGTTGCATATGCACTCAATATATGGCGACAATGCTTATGTGTCATGAAGTGCGTGATCTACACTTATTACAGTAATCCGAAATATTTATTCAATCAGACGGAAATGATTTTGAGACTACAATTGTGGATTGAATTGTTGAAAGATTAACCATAAGGGTGGTGTCTGATTGGTTTGAGCTTGACTTCAAAGGTCAAAAGTGCCTGGAGGTCCCAAGTTCATCCCCTTGTGGCCACGGAAGTTCAAATGCGGTGACTCCGAGCTACTTGCAAAGCAGGTGGTCGCCCTGGGATTAGTCGGATCGCATAACGGGTTGGATATTAAGGTTAATCAAAAAAAAGATTACGGCTTTGGAAGACAGTACCATCCAAGTAAACCGAATGCAGTCCCTGATGTACTAAGCACCAAGAAATAGCATAACCAATTAAAGGTCATACCATGAGAACGAATGTCGAGATAGATACAGTAAACCTTATACAGAAGGTGCAACATAAAGCAATCACACACGAGAACATTAAAAAAAGGATAATCGAACTTATCAAGTTTTTAGATATAATAAAAGAAAAAATCATGAGATAAGGGGCTTTAAATATAAACATTGCAAAATTCAGGGACCATTCTGGACCTTTTGTAATTCTGTTTCATCGACGAATAGGATGTCTGGCAGCCCAATAAATAAAAGGATGCGAGTTTTCGATTAGGGTTTTGTTCCGAACCCAAAGGATTGAGGCTTCTCTTTCATGCAGACTTAGAGACTCAGAAGGAGAGCTTCATCAGTGTTTCGTGCCGTAATCTTTTTGATTCATCTTCTGATACGTCATCATATCAATGGCAACCGGTTCGTATGTGTTTTTGTGATTTTTTATGGGATCAATTCATAGATTGCATTAGCAAAGAAGTGATTTTGTCAGTTTTAATGTGTTAACCTGCGAACACTTTTCTTGATTTTAGTTTGTTGTTTGAAGGAATTGGTTAGTCGTCCAGTAACAAGTGAGAATAGGAAATTTTATCCGATTTTCGATTTTTTGTGATCTTTCTTTGTAATCGTTTACAGCAACAGCGCCATCCCGTTCCTTCTTGCAAGTGGCAGCCACGGAGGAGGCAGTTGCTCCGCCTCTAAGAGTTGTTCAGATCGAAGGACTGGTACTGCGCTTTCTCTTGCTATAATTTGTGCGTAATTGCATCGCTACAGGATTTTGATTTGCTGTCACGGGGTTTTGTATTTTCTAAGAGTATGTTTAATTGATTCATCGTTTTATTTATGTCGTTATATATTTCCGTTTCTGTTGCGGTTTGTTTTTGGGGAGTGTTGGTTGTGTTTGTTAAATGAAGTCCCTAAAAATTAACTTCGATATGGTATCCTGTGAGAATTTGTTCTTTTGGCGCATCCTGTTTCAGACTCATCTATCTTCATGTCATCATGTGTGATACTAAAGGCTACAGCAGACATACAAGAATTCTAAATCAAATAATGCTGGTAGGCAAGTAGTTTTCTTGGAAAGTATGGCACAGTGCACAATGCATCACTTCTACATGAAGCTGATAATGCACAAAATTATCTGGCATATCACCAAACAAATCCAATTCGGATGATAAAGCATATAGTCAGAAAGAAAACTGAACAATGAAAACATGAAGTTATGAGACTAATTAAACAAGATCAAGAGATTTGAAGCATGTAAGTCTAGTCATCTAATCATCATTGTTTAATTCCATGGCCTCATATGTCTTCTTGCCTCTTGTCTCTTGCCATTTTAATGTGTGTTTGTAGTTTATCTCTTAATGTTCTAATCATCCCTTCTGACCTTATTTACACCTGAAGTTTTTTCTTTAGTTTTTTTACTTCTCTGTTATCATGTCAAGAAGAGTGGTTGCCATTTCTGCTAATCCCAATCTTAGGTTACTCTAAGCTAAATTTGTGTCAAGTTGCTGTACGCTCGTGTCAAGTTGCTGTACGCTCAGGTCAACAATGTTGGGTAGGCTACTATTGGTACCTATCACAGTGCTTGTTAGGGTAATTTGATTGGTCACAAGTGCTGCTACTTTTAAAAGACTGGAAGAACTAAATGAGTTGGTCCTGGTTTCACCCTCGAGGGGCATAATTTCATTTATGTTTGTGCTGAGTAGCTACTAGAGCTTAAATGTGTGAATAGAGCCTAAAACAACTAGAGTCTGAACAAGCCAATTCTTATTTAGCCAATTGTATAAATATATAAAAAAGAGAAAGAGCTTAAAATGTTAATGGCAGTCCTGACCATGCCATGTGTCTCAGCTTTTTCCAAACTGTTGCAAAAGACACTTGGTGTTTGTTAGTACTCATATGCTGTTTTTAGGATGTGACGAGGTTGTTCAAGTGCCTTGCCATGTGCCCTACCTGCGCAATAATGTGCTCCACTTTTAAAGAGATTTAGTTCTAAATCCTTATCAACTGCTTTGTGCCAATAATAGCCTTTCTTTTACTTTGTTGTATGGAGTAAAAGAGAGCTCAAAGATTGTTTAGTAATTGGTAAAATGCATGTATTATCGTAAGTTTTCTAATATATTTACATATCAATATTGTGAACAGGTTATATTGAAGATCATCAAACACTGCACTGAGTTTTCACCTGCTCTTGTGACTGGGCAACTTCTTGGGCTGGATGTTGGCAGTGTTCTTGAAGTAACCAACTGCTTCCCCTTTCCGGTATATGCCGTTATTGTCCCCTTCCTTATTATATACTAATTCTTAATTAGTTTACCACAAATTTTTGCATGCTATTATTTTTTAACCCATAGAACTGACAGATCCGGGAGGAGGATGAGGAGATTGAGGCCGAAGGTGCTAACTATCAGCTTGAGATGATGAGATGCTTGAGGGAAGTCAATGTTGACAATAACACTGTGGGATGGTAAGTTCTGTTTTATGACTTTATCCATTACTCACTCTTTTCCTTGGTTACTAATAATGTACCGAAAATGTTTGGGAGTAGTTTTATGTTCTTCTGGAGGTTACCCTGGTAACTGTTACCTACACAATGACATTGTCTTAACCATTGTGTTCTGTGGAAGTTGTGGCAGCTTTCCATGTTCTGTAGTTTGCTTGACCTCTTTTACTAGAGTAATTTTCTTCAAAATCTTTATTCTTAGATGATCGAGTTTTCATTTGTTCAGAGCCGAAGATTATCAGATCAGTTTAGAAATTCCGTTGTCACATTTGACAGTTATTGCTTGCTTGCTGCTAATTTACGTCTTTGGTTCATCAAGTATCGACTGCAGCACTTTGGATTTTGTTTTGGAACAAGTTATTAGTTGGGGGTGTAGGGGTGAGACCTAAACTTAATTTGGTTGTTGCTTGCTGTATTCTATATGCCTGGATGGATGCAAATCAAACATGAACTACATAAGTTTGGGTTTGATTAGCAAAATGAGTATCCACATTTAAATTCGAGGATTCCAAAATCAAATGTCAATACATTGAGATGTTAGAATTTGATATCCAAAGTTGATTGCCACAAATACTTTGATTTTAGGCACTGAAGGTACAAATAACTAAAATATTATTAAAAGCATCAATATAACTTCTGGAATGTGTTCACTTGGCCAATTAGGCAATCAGAGGTGGAGATAACCAAGAGCATCTGTACATGTATGTATATGCATGTATATAGAAGAGGTCAAAAGGTCAATCCTGCTTCAGGGAAATTGAATGTCTTCCCTCATGATTTTTTTCATGCATTTATTGTGAGTTATAACCTGCCATAATAAGATGCATTAGCTTAAGCATTATTTATAAAAGTTTGGAGATTTGGCTAGATAACTCATGCATATATCACTTCAATTTGGCTAGAAAATGCATGCATATATCACTTTATTTTGGCTAGAAAACTCATGCATTTATTGTTTTGTGGTGCGTGTAAACTGTTCCTTGAATTTTCTACTTCAGCGTTGCTAAAAACGTAAGATGTTTTCAAACCTTTCCCAGGTACCAATCGACTTTATTAGGTTCTTTTCAGACTGTGGAACTGATTGAGACCTTCATGAATTACCAGGTAACGCAGTTCTTTTGCTACGCATTTGCTATGATTTAGTAGAGCTTGCATGAAGTGGGTTATTAAGAATAGAAAAGATAAGTAGGTTGCTAAAATTGGTCTCTTTTACAAGCCAAGCAGTGGGTGAGTGTTTTGGCAGGCTCCTCTTTCGGTGGTACTAACCATTATATAAGGAACATATCAGCTTGTACATATACTTTCAAATTTCAATAATGCCTCAAAACTGTACTTAAAAAGCAGACGATGGGCCAGTTGTACTTGATATAATGTCAATAATTCCACTTGTGTACTGAAACTAAGTGATGAGTAAACTAACAATTGTATGTACATAATGATTAACTGAAGTGATGCCAAATACTAATAGTGGTGCAAGCTGTAATGCACTTAGTAACCATTGTGTACATATATCCAGGGTTTGCTGTTACTACCAAAAGGAAATAAATGCTTCGTTTTTTGACCAATTGAGATATCTGATTTCATAAATCTGAAGCAAAAAAGAAATTTTTTAATGAATCCAAAATAGCTATATTTCCTACATAACTCTACTTTCTTGGCTGCAGGAAAATATTAGACGATGCGTGTGCATTATTTATGATCCTTCCAAGTCCAACCAAGGTGTCCTTGCTTTGAAGGCCTTGAAACTTTCTGATTCTTTTATGGAGCTTTATCGCAACAATGATTTTAATGGAGAGAAGTAAAGTCCATTCCTTCCCACCTTTATGATTTGTTAGAATAAATTGGAAGTTTATTCTCACTTCATTCACTTTCTTTAGGTTGCGGGAGAAAAATCTCACATGGGTGGATATCTTTGAGGAGATACCTGTAAGTTTCTGATGCAACATTACTTATTCTGTGAAAAGTTTTTCTTACTATTGCATGTTCTTTTTAGGATATCAAAGAAACATGAATGTTTAGTGCTTCTAACATGCATGGTTGGTATGTGTAGCTGGCAATTTTTAATTAAGGTGATTGCTTTCTTTTTTAAAATGTCTTCTGAAATTATTAAGAGAAGCTTTATGTGTGTGAGTGAGAGGAGAGAAAAGGAAGGGAGCTGAGTGATGTAATTTGATTTTTAGAGGTGTTTACATGAACTAACTTCACTTTATGAGCCAATAAGATGAAAGAAGAACAGTAAGACCAAGGTAGATGTGGTTGTTGGTGGCTAACTCTTTCTATCAACCACAATGAGTTTTATAACTAATCATTGAATATAACTCATGACTTCACTTGAGTTCTTTGAAACCAATAAAAAGCCAAGGGTCAACTCGTTTACAACTTCTTGATTTTTTCATTTTGAGTTTTTCAGCTTTTCCACATAATTAAACGAGCTCATTTGGCATTCAACACTGCCTTTTCCAAGTGTGATGATTGCTCTTGAACAGAAGGACTGTATAACTATAACTCCGTAGCAAAGAGAAATCCAACATTTTAAATGAAGTTGCACCTGACATTTTGATGATGTTATGAGGAAGTAGGACGAGAGCCACTATTGATAAACCCAAGATGTTCTCAGAGGCAGTCCATTCTCCTATATTTGTACTCATCTTGGCAATGGTTTGGGGTTATGATTGTAATATCTTGGATGAAAATGTTATGGCTAATTTTATAATGGATTCCAGTGGCAACCACATGTCAACGCTCCAGTTTTTCAATATCATTGATGCTTAGTTTTGTGCTTTTTAGAATACATTATTTTACCTGGAACTATGTCGGAGTGTCATATGTTATTAAACAGAGTAAAAGCTTTTACCTATTTCAATTAAGACCACATTTTCTAATGCTATCTAGTTATGCAATGGCTGTCACATTTAACAGATCAAGGTTTCAAATTCGGCTCTTGTCAGTGCATTTATGACTGAACTGGAAGCTGATTCACCTGTCACTCAGGTATTTTATTATATGTTTTGGGGAAGTTCCCATTTTTCACATACTGTCACATTCTGTAAACAAAGTGTAATTTGATTCTTTTATGTGCTAGTCTGATTACGATAGACTACAATTATCAACAATTCCTGTTATGGAAAGGAACATGGAGTTTTTGATTGAATGCATGGATGATCTCTCAATGGAACAGCAAAAGGTTGGTTATTTTTTTCAGCCGATGGTTCGTATTTGCTGTTTTATGTAATAATAGTAATCACAATGACGTGAGCATTTTTGTTCTTCAGTTCCAATTTTACTACCGTAATCTGTCACGTCAGCAAGCCCAGCAGCAAACATGGCTTCAAAAGAGAAGGTACTTGCATTTGATGTTTATATTTTTACTAAGGATATTCCTAGCTATGAGTTAGATCTATAAGCACATAGTGGAATGTGTTAATATATTAATCATTTTTCTGGAGGATTGTATCTTGTACAGAGACCTTAAAGTGGAACCCAATTTAAATTTACAGTTGTGTATGGATTTTCTCGAGTTGTCTATTAATGTTTGGTTTCCGGTATATGTTCTCTAGGGCTGAGAATATGGCACGTAAAGCTGCAGGAGAGGATCCACTGCCTGAGGAGGATCCTTCAAACCCCATCTTTAAGCCTCTCCCGGAGCCATCACGGTTGGATAGCTTTTTGATAACAAATCAAGTTTCCAACTACTGCAATCAAATCAACAGGTATGTTGTTGCATAATAAGTTAACGATCAATGTTCTTCGTAATTATGATCATGAGGGTGACTGTAGATTGTCTTTTCACCATTCATGACATTTTTTTTGTGCAAGATGACTACTTCATATACTGTCTTTATATCAAACTCTTAGTAATCTTAATGCTCCACGTGTCCCAAAATAAATGTTCACAATGAAAAAGGCACGCGGTTTTAGGAATGTGTAACTATTACAATTCTTAATTAACTACATGAAAATTTTACCCTTAATAATAGAGTAGTAATGAATATCTTCATCTCATAATTAAGGGCAAAATTGGATAATGAACACTTATTTGGAAGTGGATGGTTAATTTTTTTTGATTACTCTGGATATCCAACCCGCTATGCGAAGTAGCCCGGAGTCACCGCATTTGAACCTTCATGGCCACAAGGGGATTTTTATTCCTTCTTGGATTTGAACATGAGACCTCCAGGTACTCTTGACCTTTGGAGCTCAAGCTCAAACCAATCAGACACCACCTTTGTCGTTGTGGATGGTTATTTTTAGACAAGCTAAAATAGAAATGCTGACACTTATTTTAGGATGGAGGAAGTAATTAGAATTATCAGTCTGCGATAGGGTTCAGTGTTTGAGTTCTTTATGGTAAGTATTCGACTATTATTCTGCATGCCTTTCTTTTACTAGGATGTTGAAAAACTGCATATGTAAATGATATTATAATAGCAAATGAAGGAAAGCTCAAATGCTTGACGGGTGTTTGAAATCCTAGAGTACAATAGGAATACTGATGAACCATATGACATACCAAATCATAGAACTATTGATGTAGGAATTTGGGTAATTGTCCGTTTAGTACTAAAAAGTTATCATGGGGAAAATCCCAAAATAGGATGTTATTACTTTTTTACTTATTACATTTATTTATAGGGCCTATAGAAACATATATTGGAAGTGTTTATGAATACAATGAAGTTTTATGAGCTTTAAGTTCCATGCTTTACTTCTTGAACCAATATAATGACAAATTAATGCAAAGGTTATATAGAATTATTAGTAGATAAAACTAAGTTCTGTTACAATGTTACGTGGTTCAACCAAAGTTGTTAAAGGCTCAATGCCCACTTAGGTGCAAAGGGGTCCCAAGGCCCAAGTGCGAGGCACAGGCGTGAGGAATGCAAGGCGCATCTTATCAATACACACACACACAGAGTTACACACAACTCAAATATGCAGCAAGTACAAGCCTCCAACGCAGCAAACAATACTTTAATAGAGGCAGAAGGGAGAGGGTTTAAAGCGTAGCTGTGAGGGAGAAGTTTTTTAAGGTCTGGGTATTTATAGAGGAGGCTGGAAGTTCTAAGGACCGGGTATATAATAATATAATTTTAGGGTTTGACTTAAGTCATCTATTAATCACTCTTTTTAAGAAGTCTGGGAGATGAGAAGATGAGAAAACTTATTTAATATTAGGGTTTGACTAGGTATTTAATAATTCTTGATGACGCGCGCCTAGGCCCACAAGGCACCTCAGCCAAGGCGCAGCACCTTGAGCCTCGTGAATACCCCTAGCCTCGATTTCAAAAACCCCTAAGACCTTGAGCCTTATGAGGCCTTAGAGCCTAGGTGCGCTTTTAACAACTATGGTCCAATCCAATATTTACTTAGGTAGGAATTATAGTTTTCGAGGGAGGTTCATATAGGAACCCAGGAACCCACCCTTTTGTGGTATTCACGATGAATGTTGTGACAAAATTCTCACAAGATACTTGGTTTCTGTGTTCCTAAAATATTTAAAAGGTTCCTAAATGAACCCGCCCGTATAGTTTTAATATAGTAATTAGGATTTGTTTCTATTATCTGTGTAAAGTGATGTAATCACAAGTTACAAAAATTATTGAGGTACAAAGTGTTAACCGAGCTTATATTTGTATGGAAATGCAGCGTTGCAGGGCAGAGTTTCAGCAGATTATATTTGATGAAGGCGTTACATGAAAACTGATAACGTACAGAGGCCATGAAACATCGCTTTTCTGTAGCTGCAAAATTGGGTATGAACCATGTAGTCACGTTGGCTCGCTGTATCTCTTAATTTTGCTTGCTTTTTATTCATTCACTGGAGTGATTACGGTAGGAGAATTTTGGTGTAAAAGCTACTTGCAAACGTTTTATTAACATCCGTAATTTACATTTCTAAGGTACATCTTATACAGTTCGGGTAATTATTGATCACCACGAGTAAAATTATGGCTACGTAGTTTCGATTGGTGGTGGTAGCTACATGTTTGTTTGTTGGGGTAAAATTGTTGATCAAATTTTATGCGGTGATTGTTGAGGTTTCTTGCTTTTCTTTATGGCTTGGATGAAAAAACAATTCTGTCCTTTTCATTGGTTGGATTCACGTTACTTGGCTCCTGACCTATCCCAATTAGTGTGTTGATAAGATGTTAGTTTTTTTTTAATTAACCTGGATATCCAAATTGCTATGTGAGCCGACTAATCAGAGGACGACCACCTGCTTTGCAGATATCCCGGAGTCATCGCATTTGAACCTCCGTGGTTACAAGGGGATTTTTATTCCTCCTTGGATTTGAACCTGTGATCTTCTGGTACTTTTGACATTTGGAGCCAAGTTCAAACCAATCAGGCACCACCGTTGTGGTTTACTTCACATACATTGTTGTCATATAACTAATGCTGTATAACTGTTCGACAAAATTTGTGCAAGAATGTATTATATTTTGTAAAATCAAAAGGTTTTACGGTTTTAAGAGGAGATTGATATACGAATTAGGTAGTATTTGAGTATTTGACTCATAAAATACTTAAACCAAAAAAACCGGCGATGACTTATTATCTATGATACAATCTCATGGCTTTCAATGTGCCCATTGAGGTCATAAATCAGTCCTTTTTAAATAACGAGAATCTGTTTATAATATAACGAGTGTTATTAAACGATGCTACCTGACAAGTTGTTTATTACTATATCAATTATTGATAATATATAAAAAACAATAATTTTGTTGTTTTTATTTTCCGATTCTATTTTAGTTCCCAATTTGGTTTGTTTGAGACCAAAAACGCTCTTCTTGGGTTGTCATCTAGAGATGGAAACGAGGCGGGAATCCCCCCCGACCCCGACCCGCCTAATCTCCGATGGGTATGGGGAACCCGTTTAGGAAAAAAATAATTACATTTTTTAAAAGAAAAAAAAGAGTTTATAATTTTAAAACGAACATACCTCAAATTTTAAGAACACATAAATTTTTTTAAAGGGTTAAATGCTATTTTACTTTAATTTTTTTTATTATCACATTTTACTTTTGTTTTTCTTTATTACAACAATGTACTTTCAAATTATTTTTTATTAAGATATCATATTTTAAAAATCTACCTACAATAGTAATGGATAATCTGTTAACTTTTAAACCGGTTAACCCTTGGCTTTTTTTGCTTCTGTGACTTTAATGAGATGATGTGAATGACACATTATTTTGATGACTTAACTAAAATAAAAATAAAAACTTATTTAAAATTATTATTAGTGATTTTCATATTTCATTGCTATGATCTAAAAAAACATTTATTTTTTTTTGACTTTTTTTATTAAGTTGCATGCAAATTAAATAGTATAGAGTAAAATATTTCTTAAATAAATATGAAACATTTTTCGAGATATATTTTGTTTGTAAAAAAGTTAACACTTTCTATTTTATGTTGTTCAAATAAATACATATCTCTTAAAGTTCTTTTTAAAATGTTAAAGAAATAAATTATGATATACAAATTTTTAATATTGTTATATTAATAAATAATTCAAAAAATCTAATTAATTTAATATACTTATACGTCAAGTAAATTTTTTTGAACAAATATAATATATTGTTTAAAAGATAATATTTTTTGATAAAAAATGAACAATTCTTATTTTACTTTTTTTTTTCAAAAAACACATATTTAAAAAAAAAATATTAGATGAGATAAGTTGCGTTCTACTAGTTTTATTAAAATTGATATATTAATGAATAATTTAGAATTTTTTTAATTCATTTAATATATTTATTAAATAACATGTAAAATGTCTAAATATTAAAATTAAAAATACAGTGTTTAATAAAAGCTAGTAGATGCTATAATAAAATAATTTTGAAAGTACAATAATATAGTAAGAAAGTCACATCACTATAGTATATGTGGACAACCTACGTGGACAAGAAGATGACATGAAAACCTGGTATAATGGGTAAATTTAAATCAAAAGATTATCAATGTTATAATGGGTAAATATTTCAAAGTACAATGTCCTAATAAAAAATACTTTGAAATACCATTGTTGTAATAAAAAAAACTGAAACTACAATGCTGTAATATTTTTTTATATTAAAGTACATTGTTATTTTATGTATTTTGCCCTATATTAATATATATATATATATATATATATATATATATATATATATATATCATATGGGCTGGTAGTACTATCCCTAATCCTGACCCAAACCCTCTTCGGATATCTATACTATCTTATAAAACAAATTTAACAAAAGTCTTAAAGTCTTAAAATATTAAATAACCAAAATACCCTTTATAGCACTTTTTCACTTTTTCACCCCCTCCTCACATACACTCACCCTTTCACATCCGATTTTTCTAAAATTATAATTTTAAATTCACACTTTATACCCCTATAATTAGTTAATTAATTTACTTTACATCTTTTACTTTTAAATGTTTCATTTTAAACCTTTATCAAATTAATATACATAATCGTATATCAATTAAAACATGTTTAAAAAATATATTTTTATTTTAATAAGTTACACCATTATAATCGTCTCATTAATCCATTCGAAATGAGTCCAATATTGAATAGTTTTTGACTTAATTATATTGTTATATATTACATATACTGTGAAAAAATATTTTTAATATTTACGATTTATACTTTTATAGTCATATATATATATATATATATATATATTATATTTTGGGGTTAGGCTGTCCAAATTGCACTATATAATATGTTCTGAATTAATATGTTCTTTGGTTTTTTTGAAATATATATATATATACATGTATTAATTCGACCTTAATCTGAGTTTCTGGACAAGAAAGAGGGTAAGCAGTTGAAATTTCATTCTAAATCCTAACTTTTTTGGTCTTTTTATGCCTTATGATATGTCAAATTTGTAGTTTTCTTTATTGGTTTTGAGTGTTTATCTTAAAACTCAAGTTTTTTGGTTCTTTGCTCTTGGTGTAAATCGAACACATTTGTGGAGTCGTTTTAATATGTTGGATTTTAAATATATTGGATTTTAAACTGTCATACAATTTTTTTCATCGATAGTCTGTAATTGGAACCATAACTCTTATTTATTCAAATTGTATTAATATGTAAAAATCAAGTGTAACATATATCATCGTTAAATCTTATCTTATAAAACCAGTGGAACTTCAAAATCGTTAAAATTCATGGCTCCCACCGCATTGTACGAGTACACAACTAGTGAAATGTAATACCCGCCCCCACCCCGTTACCTGATGCCAGCTTGTCCACGACCAGACGGGTAAAAGTTCCATGACTATCGTCCTCCCTAATTTGAGGTTTGATTTGTAAACAATTTAAATCTTGAAGGGGCAAATTGAAAATATTGAAAAAGTTTGGTCGGTTATCTAAGGACAACTCCAACCTTATCACAAAAAAAAAACCAAAAACATTAAATATAGTAGATTCATAAACACTAAAAAAAACTCATCTTCAATCATCCTCTAAAAAACACCAAATTTATGAACTCACGTTAAAATAACCCAATAAACCCTTAAATTATTAAATAAAAAATGGTTTTTAATATAAATTAATGGGTCCCACTGATTTTACCGTTCAAGAAACCTACGGCATATTTACCGTTCAAATAAGGGATCCGGCAAAACCTAAATTCATTTGCCGGTCGATTCGAGGTCACAAACGAGAAATCCCTAAAATTGCCGGTTGATTGGAGATGCTCTAAGTCGGGAATTTACCCCCGACTCTCGATCGCCATCGGAGTCTTGGTGAATTCGAGTCTCGATAAAGCGAATTTATCACAGGCGGTGGAGGCTTACGCCGGAGAATTGGAAGAGTGCAAAACTCAAGATAACTGGCGGTAACTGGCATCGGAGAACATAAAGAGAGAGGTGGGTGATGATAATGGCGAATATGGAGGGTTCTTCTACTGCAACGCCAATCGCCGCTTCTAATATTGGTTTTCAGGTGAAATCATCTTTGATGTTTCTCCATATATGCTGTTCATGCCATCTCGGTTTACATATTGTTAGTATTTTTGTTTGTAATTGTATTTTCTCTTTCCTTTTTGGTTATGAAGCTGCTAAAGAAGCACGGTTGGAAGGAAGGAACCGGCCTCGACACCAAAAAAAACACCAAAAACACCAAATTTGGTGGGCCCATAAACACAAAAAAAAAACTCAACTCCAATCACACTCTAAAAAAAACACCAAATTTGTGGACCCCACGTTAAAATAACAATTTAAAAACATAAAACTTAATATTTGTAATTATTTATTTATTTATAACTTATTTAAAAATTATTAAATATTAGAAAAGTTGGTGGGGACCACCAAATTGAGGGTTTTGCCGTCTCCTTCTTCCCCGGCATATTTGCCGGCCGATTTCATCCAACGCCATCTTTTTGGTGTTTTTGCAGTGTGATTGGAACCAAAAGAACGGCAAAAGTAAGGTTTTGCCGTTCGATTGGAGATGCTCTGAACAGGTAAGTTTACCCAGTGTGAATTACTTTTGCTTCATTGATCTTCAATTAATTTCATCATAAAACATTTAGAAGTTAAAACCCTAGTGTGATTTTGATACGACTGTATTCGAGATGGTCAATCTCCACAAAATTATTAAGAGAGGAAGAGAGAGTTTGAGGCAACTTTCTGATAAAACTTCACAAGAAGAAAGTTACAGTACTTGAATGGGAAAAAAAAAGAACTACCGCTAACTAGAGGATTGACCAGTCATGCACCACATTGATTGAGCCTAAAGAACAGGGGAATTCATGGAGTGGCTTTGGAAGACAATCCACTTCCAGCTTACATAAAGAGATAAATAACAATTGAAAATAAAATGGAACCTGATATTTAGGAACACTGTAGACCACTTCAATTCTTCAATCACGGTAGCGTGCAGGTTTGGACCTAATCCATTGAGGCCTGGATTTGATATGGTCTGGGCTTGACTCCCATTAGATCCATTGTTA